AGGGAAAAGAAGGACACTGTTCATGTTTTAGCTCACTGAATGAATTTCTTGAAAACATATTTAGTAACTGTATTCTACTGTATGAGTTTCTTACTGCTGCTGTAACAAATTATACACTTAGTGGCTTAAAGCAACACAAATTTATTATCTGATAGTTCAAGAAGTCAGAAGTTTGAAATGGGTATCATAGACTATAATCAAGGGATTGGCAGGGCTGCATCCCTTCTGGAGGTGCTCGGTGAGAATCTGTTTTCTTACCTTTTCCGGCTTCTGGAGGCTGCCCACAATCCTTGGCTCCTGGCCTCCTTCCATCTTTAAAGACAGCAATTGCTTCATTCTGATCTCTGCTTCCATCATCACATGTACTTCACTGACTCTCCTGCCTCTTTCTTTCATTTATATGGGCCTTTGTGATTACATTAAGCCCATCTGGCTAATCCAGGATAATCTCCCCATCTCAAAGTCCTTCATTTAATCACATCTACAAAGTTTCTTTTTCCATGTAAAGTAATATCTTCACATATTCACAGGTTACAGAGATTAAGAAGTAGGTCTCTGAGAAACAAGGCAGGGAGGGTGGCATTATTCTGCTTACCATAAATACTTGTGCAATTTAAAAAACTATTTTAAAAACCTTGTATTATAAGAATTTTCTCATCACTAAAAATCCCTAATAATCATAATTCTTAATGATGCCGAATATTTCACTGTAGGGATACACCACGATTTATTGAACTGGTCCCCCAACTGGGGATATTTAGGTTGTTTTACATTTTCATGATTTTAAAGATGATTTTCATGATGAATATCTTTGGGTCTTTGTGGGGGGATATACTGAATCATAAATGGCTTAAAGAAACAGACTTGGTGATCAGAAAGACCAGAATTCAAATCCAGACAAAGCCTCAATTATCTGCTTCATTGCAGTCTTATTTTCCTCAACTGCAAAAAAGGGACCTCAGCTCCAATCTCACTGGATTTTTAAAAAGCTTTCTTGACATATAATTCATATATCACACAATCCACCCAGTTAAGGGGTAAATTCAATGATTTTTAGTCTCAGGGTTTTTGCAGGATTCAATCATACTGAACACAAAAATTGTCACTACTATTAATAATTCTTTGATCATAGTTTTCATTATTTTCTTGAGCCAGGTTCTTAGAACCAGCAAATATAGCATAAAAGCCTGTAAACCTCTCAAATGTTTTGGAAACAGTACTTGTGAAGATAAAAGTGTTCGTATGAGGGTTTTTTTAATTTTGGGAGGTTGGGGGTATTTTTTAGTGTTTGGATAGAATTTGGAGGCATAGGAGGAGTGGGTAGGAAATCGTTGGGCTAATTGACTCAAGATGCCTTCTTTCATTCTCCCTTGCATAACTCTGAATTATACCCACCCCCAAACCCACACACGCACAGAGTAATTAGGGGAAGTTGATTCTGGTTCACTGAATGTCCCTGCCCTGTCTCCCACCCCTGCAGAGCCACTGGCCTGTCCCTCTCCATATCCACATGAGACTCCTTCAGTGAGAATTGCATTGGTACCATCTCCAGTTGCCCATCTTAATTCACACCAAGCACACTAGCAAACTGGCAGGAAGGAGAGGAGGGTATCATCTCCAGTTGCCCATCTTAATTCACACCAAGCACACTAGCAAACTGGCAGGAAGGAGAGGAGGTAGGTCCCCAGCAAGTCCACAGGGTGCCAAATCTACCTATCAGTAAACCAGAGCAGCATATTCCATTTGGCTGTGGGAGGACCGACTGCAGGCTTCAGGGCTGAGTTAGTGAAGTGTCAGCCAAATCCAAGAGCATGTTGCACCAGAGTCATCTGTGGGTGAATCCTCAGGCATCCCAGTAGGTGTGGGAGCAGGTTACGGGAGATGGGTGTGGGTGAGGTGGTGAGGGATGAGAGGAAGGTGCAAGGAGGGTGGGTGGGGTCAGAGATGGGCGAGGGTGGAGGCCAGGAATGAGGTCCCAGCTCCAGTTGGATCTAGTAGTTAGACCAGTAGTTTAGAACCATTTTTGGGTCATGGCCTTCTTTGAGAATCAGATGGATGCTAAGGAAAGAATGCATGCACACACACCAACCCACAAATTTTGCACAGTGTCAGGGGTTCCTTGAACTTAGAAAGCTCATCCAAGAGTTTAGGATTAAAAACCTCTGATCTAGACTAGTTCACAGGGATTTATCAGAAAGAAATTCTAATGCTGCATTAAAAATTTGAGAATGTTTGTGTCTTCTCATGTGATAGAGATTTAGGGAGGTTTGCAGGTTTGGGAATTAAATTCCAAAGCCCACTTATTCCATACATGCTCTATTTATTTTCCTCCAGCTTTTATTTTGAAAATTTTCAAGTCTACCAAAAAGTTGCAAGCTCATATCTTCAATCACATTCTCTAGTTGTCTACACTTCTCCCTAATCGCTTCCCCTCCCCATGTCTGCTTGTGCTCTAAGAAACCCATGTTTTTCTGGATAACCATTTGAGAGTAAGTTGCAGATATGAGACTTCATCCCTAAACACTTGGCATGTAACTCCTAAGAGAATCTCCTCTCTAACCACAATATAAACCACATACTCATAGAATTTAACATTGATACAATACTTTATGTAATGTACATCCTATATTCATATGTACTGGTCCCAATACATAGTGTCTTTTTAGCTGTATTCTTTCTCCTTCCCTTCCTCCCTCCCTCTCTTCCTCCTTCCCTTCCTATCTTTTTCATCCAGGATTGAATCCAGAATTATACACTTAATTTAGTTATATCACTCAGGCTCCTTTAATCAAGGGCACTACTCTGGAGTTTTGTATTGTTTTCTCTTGTGACATTGATCTTTTTGAAGAGTCCAGACTAGCTGTTTTGCAGAATGCCCCCCAGTTTGGATTTCTCTGATTAGATTCAAGTTAAGGTTTGTACCCTTCTTGGTACATCACATCAGAGGGTCAGTTGGTCCCTTATTGATGATGTTAAGTTTGATTCATGATTAGAGTGATGACCTCCAGGTTCCCCTTTGTAATTAACATGTGCTCTGTAGGGTAACACTGTATTCAATGAAAGCCTTGAGCTGTGGCAAATGCTGGGTGAGCCAGTGGTGAGCATCAAGACTCAGTCCTTGCTCTCCTGCTGTTTTTACAGTGGAGGAAACAGAGAACAAGTTAGGAAACAAATAATTACAAAATATGCAGTTTTCTGAAGAATGTGGGTGAGTGCTGAGATAGAGAATTACCAATTCTAACATTTAAAGTGAACTTAAATATGAGACTTGAAGAGGAAGAAGGAGTCAGGTATAGGAAGATGGGAGTGGTGGGCATGGAGGTGGCTCTGGCCAAGCTTGGAGGGTAGGAAGAACTGAAAGATGAGCATGTGGTGATTTCAAGGAAAGAAAAGTGATAGGAGAAAGGTCCTGGTCTGGTAATAATAATATCGAGCACTTAGACTCTGCTCGATACTGTTCTAAGTGTTTTACATGGTTTACCTTGTCTAAGTTTTCCCCATAGCCCTTGAAGTAGATGCCTTTACTAGTTTTATGCAGTAAAATCTACAGCACAGAGAGGTTAAGTTATTGGCCCAAGGTCACACAGCTTGTAAGTAGCAGAGCTGCAATTCAAACCTGGATTCATTTGCCTCCATAGTCTGTGCTCTTAACTGTATCAAGGGTCTCACCTAGAAAACAGAATGTGAAAAAGGATTGGAGTCAGAGCAGCCTGGACTAAGTGAGGAAGACCTGTCGATAAAAAATGTGGGATGGGAAAGCAAGACAAAAGAAAGGCCCAGAAGATCAAAGAGAGAAGAGTGTTCAGCGCTAGAAGGCAACATAATAAAATGAACCAAAGTTTGGTTGGCTACCCCGCCCTCAGTCCATGCCCAACCTCTAGCCTGTCCCTTCAGGCAGGACTCTCACAATTCTTTTCCTGCTCTCTGTCCTCCTAAACAAAACCAGGGCATTTACTGAGTCTCAGAGTATTTCCCCACAAATTGCTTATTAATTACAAAGGGAAAACAGGAACTTTACATTCAGCAACTTGGCTGACTCCAGGTTAACCAAGTGAGGGAAGTGAATATACAGAAAGATCTTAGGGAAGGTTCTGGAAGGAAATTTGGGGGGAAATGTAAGAGAAGGGTTTTGTGAGGAAGGCTCTGGATGAAGAGAGAGGGGGAAGTCTTGAGGAGGTTGAGGAGTTTATGGGTAACAGTGCAGGCTCCATTGGGGGAAGCCGGCATGTCTCTGGGAGGGATGGGGAAATCTTGAGTTGAGGGAGTTTCAGAGTGGTAAGAGCGAGACATTAGGGAGGGCTTGATGGGAACAGTTTGGGTGACAAAAGGGTCACAACAGGGTCAATATGGGAGGTCGGGATGGGTAAACTCTGGATGACAAGAGGGTAGAGAGCTTGGGGTAGGGGTCTCTAGGAGAGTCCTGAAAGGGTATAAGGGGTAAGGCTCGAGGACAGCAGCTGTGGGTGGGGTAGGCCCTGCGTTGAACGTGTTTAGCCAGCCCCAGGATGGGAAGATTTGGAAGCCGGGTTGGGGAAGCCGGGGAAGCCG